CTAGGGTAGGGAGGGAAAGAAGGTGCTCAGAGGGGCAAGAAAGACCAGCCTGGCTTCCCCCGCATGGCTGGCCCCAGCCTTAGCCTCCTCTTGCAGAGTAGGTAAGATAATATTGTCTTGACCCCACATCTCCAAGCATAGTGTCCTGGGTTCCTGAAGATTCTTCCTGCCCTGAGGGTAACTGAAGGATGGAGGGCGACAGGGGACACAGCTTTTGCCAAAGGGCCTCAAGCAAATGCCTGACTTTCTTCTGCAGTGAGCTTCCCATACCAGTCCTCAACTAGGAGTTCTAATTTTGCCCATCTTGCCTCTCTGGTCAAAAACGAGGCTGCATCCTTGGTGAACTGCCAAGACCCTTTTAATATCATCCGTCACCAAGTCATGCTATGTAAGCACCTAGCTACCTACCCATAATATGTTCCTAATCTAAACTATGTGGGATGCGTGCCCACATCCACAGGGGCTGTGCCTAGTGGGTCAGACTGGCATCCGCTAGGATTCCTGCTTTCCGGTCAAGTGCTCATGCAGCTGACATGCTGGGGACATGCAGACAGAAGCATACTAAACATTGCATACGTACACAAATAGACCAGATAAAATATCTGTCTTGCCTATAAGCCAAGGGCAAAGGTGCTTGTAGGACGGTAGGTATGCGTCTCTGTTTGAGGAAGAGCGGGGAGTGGGTGCGGCTGGTGAGAGCTGTTGTGTGCGTGTATAAGGTGAGGCTGGAGAAACTGTCACCCTCCCTAGTAAATCCGATGGCTTCCTGGAGCTGCTAACGGAGCTAAGAAGAACTTTGCCTAGTGGGTGATACTGCATATGGGTGTTACAGGAAACAGGACTCCGCGCGGTGGAGAGAGGGTACATGAATGAAGGGTATTTGCCTAGGAGTGGCAGGTTGGTTGTATAACACCAAGAAAATTCTGGGAGGGAGACTGGAGTGACACTTGCTGGGGTTCTAAGCAAGTGCAGAAGAGGAGGGCTATAGTGGAGAATATTAGGGTCAGCGGGGGTGCGGGGGCAATGGGAAGAGGGAGCTAGGAAAGTCCAGGTGACAGATGGCCAGGCCCACTGTGGCAGAGTTAAAGAAGAACAGAAGGGGAGGGATGTAGGAATTAACATGATGCTTTGAACCAAGGACCACACACCCAGTTCACCTCCAGGTCTCCCTGAAGACAATGTAGTCCTTAAATAATCATTGTAGAATTCCACCCTCCTGGTGATGTGCCCCTCTTGTCAGGGCACAAAGTACAGGTCTGCATGAAGGACCTAGCTTGCTGGAATTGAGGTACTGCAGGTAGACAGTAGAGGGTGCTGCGACTCTGACAGAATTCAATAGGAAGCCACCAGAAGGAAGTAGGCCACAGGGAGGACTCCACTGGGTTGTTGCTTTTGGACTTTCTAAACGTAAGTCAGTCTTCAGTGCACAATAAACACAGAGTGACATCGTTACAAGTAATCATGGTTTCCCCAGGATGGACTCACACAGAACTGAAGGGCTAGAAGCCACTTAGCCATCACACCACTTGGCTTGTGCCCAGATAGCACGGGGCCATAACCATTAATGCTTCTCTATAAAATGGGAAGGAAAAAAACTTCCCTCATTTTTAATAACTTTATTCCCCAAACTTCAAAAATGAAATTGCCAAGTTAAGAACTTGCCTTGAAAAAAAATTCTAATTTATTATAAAGAAGGTCCGGGGCTTGGGAATTTTTTAATGCAGATTCCTAATTTTCCAAAGTGAGATTCTCCTGTGCATTTGAATAGATTATGCTCGGTATTGCTAGCCCTCAGCACAACGGGAACATTATTAAAACGACTGCATGGGTCTCAGAGGAAGGGCTCTGCTTCTCGCTCTCTTTTTCATTTTGGGGACTTCATATCAGAGACTGTCCATTTGTTGCCTGTGGAAGAAACCGGGTTTCTGAGGAGGTGATAGCGAGATGTGCTCAGCTGTCCAGGCCTTGAGGAAACAAGCCACACAGAGTCCAGACGTAATGAGATTAGACCTCAAGGGATGAGGAGGGCATGGCCTCATTTCCTGAGAGCCCCTTTAGGAGGTGATTCCCCGGGGTGCCCGACCCATGTTCCTATCAGGCCCTGCTTTCCTGAAGACATGGAGCATCAGACGTCAGAAAGCCAGAAAGCCAGAACGTCGCTGCTTCTCCAGGATAATGCGCATTGGGAGGGAAAGGGAGCAGAGGGAAGCCGGGGCCCACCTCTCAAAAGCATAAAGAGAAGAAGGCAGGACAGCCAGCACAGGTTCCCCAGCAGGAAACCCCAGTGGTCAGGCACACATAGAAGAGCCATCGCTATGAGAAAGCCACTCCTAGAAGCCCCTAAAGATGGATAGAAGGGTTCCCTAAGCCAACTGGCCTCAAAGGCCAGCACTCTGTGGAAAGTAGAGCCTTTGTTCTGGGAACCTTACCCACCTTGTCCGTGCGCCCGCTCCATCCCTGCCCTAACTCCCCGCCCCTGGCCCCCATCCTAATCAGTTTCCTTGGGAACCAGCTCAGCTCAGGGAAGGCCAGTGGCAATTTAGCCATAGCCTAGTGGCTTAGCCATGAGGGTAAAGACCCCAAAACCTTGGCCTGGTCACTTCACCATGGACACTGAGGCTTCCTGTAGAAACTTCATTCCTGCATCTCTGGAGTTACAAGTAGATGATAGCTTCCCCAGGCAAATTATTCCTTTGCTGTAAATGTGAATATTTTCAACGGTGACTTTCTGGTGGATCCTCAAAGGAGAGCCTTGGGACAGTCCCTGCATCGGGCTTCTGCTCTGAGACCTTAGATGGGGAATTGGAGCCTCCCTTATGCTCCTCAAAAGCTAGAGAAGCTCAGTGGTAGCTTCTGGGGGGCTTAGCACCTTTGGCTGCAGCCCAACCCCCAGCACCTCCATTGTCAGTTGGGATTTATTAATGCAGCCGTATGCTGATAATTAAATTAGGCTCCTGGAGCAGCATTCTAGGACAACACAGGCCCTTGCTGCAACTCTCCTGCTAATCCCCACCCAACCAAAACCTCTCTAAGCTGCCCAGGCAGGCAAAACAGGGAAGGGTGGGTGGAAGAGAAGCAGCTGCCACCAGCAGTGCCAATGCATGCTCTCTGACCTCTTGGCCGTGCCCTGGTCTTCCCTAGGGCCTTTAGGTACGGGGGCGTGGGCCTTGACACCCACCACCTGCTACATACAGGAAGGGCCCCCATCTCTGTTCCCCACTCCGACTTGTGGAGCCTGGAGAATATTGTCACAAAAGAAGTGGAGCCAAAGTTCCTGCTTCTGAATACCCCGGGGGGGGGGGTGTCCCTAACACTGCTGAGCAGATGAGGGGATGGGTCTGCTTCTATGGAGGATGGATGACTCTTGTTCCCTACTACAGCCCCTAGCCTCCTCTTCTCTTTTTCACTTTTTCTTGGGGGGCAAAAGACCTCCATCACTTGAGGGCTCCTTCTGAACTTCATCTCTTGGATCTGGGACTACAGAGAGAAGAGCCCTGACATCGTGTTGGACACCTGGAGGCTTTCGAGTAGAAAAGCTGCATAAATGCCAAGTCCAACTCTGGTCATTTCTGGGAAGGTACTGATGCAGGCAGAGGATGTGCTCCATATGAGGTTAGGCTGGGAGAGATGGGGAAGGAATGTGAAGTGACATGTGGGGGCAGGGCTGTGGACCAAAGGACATGTGCTTGGAGGATGGTGAATGACTAGGGCTTTTGGACTTTCATGGGGAGGGGAGTCAAAGGTGGCCTGCATGCTGGATGCTCTGGAAAGTGGCCCACATCATCTGGCAATTTCACAGGGGGATAACAAGGATGTACAGAACAGCTATTATTACATGCTCTCACCTGGCTGGGGTGTCAGGGCCACAGGACCTAATGTGAGCAAAAGGCTGCCCACTCGGCCTCTGAGTCTTAATACCCTTTTCATGCCACACAGATCTTCCGTGTGGTCCATGAGGACGGCTGTGTTTGAGGCAGTGAGTGAGGGGTCACGGGAGAGGGCAGGTGGCTGCTGGAGGAGTGAGAACCATTCTGGCACCAGTGCACAGCGGCTCTCACTGCACTCGGGTATTCTAGCTGGGTGCATTTCACATCACAGATGCTCAATAAATAATTATTGAATTAATATTGACCAGAGAGACCAAAGTAGAGAAATAAGGGAGCCTGAAGGGAAAGGTCAGAGAATGGAGCCGCCTGTGAAAGCACAGCCCCATGACTCAGACAACCCAGGGGTGGATGGGGGGTGCACATGGGGGAAGCAAAGATGAGAAGGAGTTGGTTTCAAGGACTGCAGGAGGGCAGCAGGGCCAGGCTTGCAGGAAAAGAGACAAACAGTACAGGCACCTGCTGCAGGAGTAGCAACCAGAGGGGGCTCAGAAGAACTTGGGGGCTGCTGTGTCTGAGTTGAGGGCTGGAAGCTGGGGACCAGAGGGAAGGGGTTGGAGGGCATAGAGAAAGAATCTCACTTTTTCTACACAGAAGCCAAGCAGAGTCCTGAAGAGAACAGAGATTCCTCAGACAGGCAGGAATGAGAGGACTGGACACAAGGGCCCAAGGGACCAGCAGATGGGGTGACCTAGTACTAAGGGGCCTCTAAGTAGGAAGTTTCCCAAAACTCAAAGGCAGATTCTACTTACACCTTGTACCTGGGTGTCCTCTCTGTGGATTTTTTGCCCCAGTCACGACAAAGGGGCTGGGCTGCCCTGGCCCGATGTCTGCTGGGTGGGGTGTGGGGACAGGACCATGACCACTACTCTAGGTTGCCGTCCTGGGTGTAGGGTCTGAACCTGGTGTGTGGAATGCAGTGACTCCCCCAGAGGTCTGTTTGCTGGGCTCCTCCTCCCCAGACCCGACAGGGGAAGAGCCCGAGTGCTGCCCAGATAGGTTGCCAGAGGCCTGGCTCTGCCCCTGCCCCTGAATACCCCGGCCCCCAAGCTGGGGTGCTGAGGCCGCCACACTCCCTCCCCCATGCTTCCTCGACCTGCGAATCCGGGCACTCACCTGCGGGCTGTCCTGGTAGGGTGGGGGAGGGACATTCTGCGTGGCCATCATCGTCAGAGCTGGGGCTGGGGAGGCATGTTGCATCATGGGATTGATTCACATCGAGGATCTGTGGGCAGGAGAGAGGGGGCCGCACCGTTAATACCACTGAGCGCAGGCCAGCCCCGGGTACCAGCCAGCTCCACATTTTCCAGGCTGGGCCACCTGGGCAGACTGGATACAGCAGGGGCTGCAGGCCCTTCAGGGGAACAAATGAGAGCTAAGGGGAGAGGCCTGGGTGGGGAGGGGCTTGCTGTGCTACTTTGACTTGAAAGAAACAATATTCAAATCATATGTAAAGCAACCTGTACCCCTGCGGTGACGCTTTGTTCAGCATTAGCTCTGGCCCGCTGTGCGTGTGGGAGGGGGAGGGGGCTTGGCTGGTGGCAGCACTGGGGGATTGGAGGCCATTGGGAGGCCCTCCTTCCGGCCGGGGAGGCCCTGAGCATCACTTCGTCCCCGTATAACAAGGTTGCTCCTCGCCCCAGGCTTTCTGGAGCAGCCCCAGCACTCAGGGCGCAGGCAGGACTTAGGCCCCCAGCTCCCCCGCTCCCCGGCTCCAGGGTCCCCAGGCACCAGGCTCACCCCTCCCAGGTGTGCTCGCCACACCCCCTAGTGGTGGCAGGGGACGTGGGGCGTTGGCCCTTCAAACTGAAGCCCAAGGGTGACTGATTGGAGGGCCTGGGGAAGGAAAAGAGGCAGGGAACACCAGTCCCCTCCTGGTTTTTTTTTAGGTGCATGCTTGTGACTGACTTTCCTTAGCCTAAGCTCAATATAAAGTCACCGGAGTGTGCGGTCAGAAGAGGCGTCGGAGTCAAATGGTCTATCAGCCTCTTACAATGGAGACGGGCCAACAGGAGGGACATGTATGTGCGCGTGCGCGTGGGTGGGTGGGGCTTGCTAGGGAAGCAGGGATGGAACCCAAATCTCTAGAGTCCCCACTCTGGGTCTGCTCCACTATACCATACCCCTCTTCTCTTCCCACCACCAGTAAGTGAGCAAGCTCCCCCCAAGGTTCCTCTTGAACTAGAATGTGGTGCGGTAAGTGGAGACAGCCTGGCAGTGCCACTCAAGGAAACAGAATGCCGAGAGAGCTGTTGAGCTACAGTAGATGTCCTGAAATATTTAGATCTGGAAACCACAGGCTAGTTGCTTGGTATGGGGCTGCCCATCGCGGGGTGCTAAGAACCTCCGTGGAGTGCAGGGCCCGTTCCTGGGCAGAGGGCGCTGAGGAGCTAGAAACCTTTGTGAGCCCTGCACCCAAGCCTCCCCTGCCCCAAGGAGCCCTCCGGCTCCATCCGCTTCCAGGCTGACCCTCCCTAGGGGCTTCCAAAATGTTCACATACCTGAACTCTCTGGGAATTTGGGGTGTTTCAGAGCTGCCAGTAAGAGGCAGGTGTCCAGGGCTGTGTGTGTGTGTGTGTGTGTGTGTGTGTGTGCGCGCGCACACATGTGTTCTTTTGGTTCTTTTTCAGGAAGGGGAGACAAAATCTACTCTGACCTGACCTGAGTCTTTGAAGTACCAGGTATGCTTTGACCTGAAGTGCACATGCAAAAAGCACTGGAAATTCATGTTCCATTCAATAGATTTTTTAAAAGTATCAACTCCGTGTGGAGAACTGTGTTGGGGTGTGTCGGGATAGGTGAACGAGGCTAGGTCTTCTCCCTAAGGGGCACACAGGGAGGTCATAGTCCACCCGGGAAGCAGAGGCGGGATGGAGGTAGTGGAGAAACGCAGGGTGTGGTGGCTGCAGGACAGTTCCCGCGGGCCTCACTGCCTGTAGCTCTACTCGCCGCACCCCTGGATTGCTTGAAACACGGACCATCAGGATATCCTTGTGGCAAAAGCACACGGCGTCTCGCCCATCTCTCACACTGGGCACCGAGATCCAGATTTTCTTTTGCAAAGGGGGCTCCGAGGGATCTCCTAGGGGAGCCTCTCTCTCAGGCAGAGGAATTGAGGCCTGTCTTGATGGCTGGGGCTTTGGGTGGTGGTGTGCACCCCAGGAAGGCCAGGGCAGAGTGAGGAGGGTTGCAGAGGGGAAAAGGGGGATGCAGACTCCTTGAGACATCAGAAAGAACTTCCAGAATTAAGACTTTTGAGACATGAAAATGGGTGGCATTTCTCTCATTTGGACCCTGAAGGAGTAAAGAAAATAGGGATATTTCAGGAACGTATTAGGCACAGCCTTTGCTGGAACTCTGATGGAGAAGGTAACTTTGGACGGGGTGCAAGGGTCAGGGTGGCAGGTCCTCCTTCCCAGAGCGCCAGGGGTGCTTGCTCCCTGGCTGGGGAAAGTGGAGGGCTGCAGCACTGCAGTGCCGGCAGCTTCCAGGAGAGGGAGCCTGGGGGCAGAGTCAGGGCGGGAGCTGCGTCCTGGAAGGAGGGCTTTCTCCCACCTTAGGGACAGCCAGCGGTTCCCCTTAGTCTCAGGCACGGGTCTTCTGGTGACCTCATTCCATGGATGAGAAGGTCATTGTGAGGGCAAAGCAAAGGAAGCTCAATGAGGAGGACTGGGGCTAGAGAGAGCAGGCTTTAATTTGCATTCTTTTGTTCACTGTCCGATGAATGGAAGGTGGGGTCATCTTAGAGGCTCCGTCCCTAGAAATATCTGCAGCAGCAGGCGGCTGCCCGGTCTGGCGGTAAGGGGGGGACAGTTGAGTGGTCTGCGCCCAGAGACAACCACCCATGAGGTTGAGGGGAGGTTGTTCAGTCCTGAGCCCACGGGGCCATGGAACAGGGTTCCAGAACGGCCTCGGCAGAGGACACAGGGACAATTTTCTGAGGACCCAGATGGCCCTTGCCCTCCCTCTCTTTGAGGTCACCACAGGCCACTAGGCCACTGCCCCGTTGCCCTCTGGGGGCTTCTCCTACAAGAGAACAGGAGGCCTTTTCATCAGGGGCTTAAGTTCCCTTCTCTGCTCACTCAGGCGCAGAGGCCTCTGGCAACTTGACACTGGGGAGCTCAGCTGCGGGGACCCGCGCCCGCCCGCCCGCCCGCCCGGAAGCTGGCTGCTCCTCACACCCCGCCCGCCCCACAGGCGCTCCCCATCCTGCTAGGCACGTCCTGGAGAGGAATTTGGGGATCTGACTCATCTTGTCTGAAGCTTGGCGAGGACTGTGCAGTTGGGGTGTGGGGGACTCCTTGAGCACAGCTGGGGTCCCAGCCCTGCGGGGAAACCTGCCCTTTCTGCGTGTCCTTGGGGAGGGGGAGGGGAGCAGCAGGCCTGAGCTCCAGCAAACAGCCCAGGCTTCCAAGCTTTTGTCAGGGGCTCTGAGCGGCCGCCTGGCCCTGTCCGGAGGCCCCAGCACTGTGTCACCAGACACCCGGGCAGGGCATTCTGGGGAGCGCAGCCAGCACTACAAATGGAGGACACGTGAGGAACAACCTGCCGTAGAGAAGTTCCCATCCAGGATAGGTTCACGTTGAAAGGTTGTTTTTTATTGTTTTTGTTTGTGCTGAAAACCTTTAGTACATGACAGCCAGGAGGGGAACAACCTAATGTAACACTCAACTCCACAATGATAGCCAAGAAGAAATCATTTGTATAACTAATATCATCATCAAAAGAAGCTAAAAATGCCATCTGACGGAGCTCAGGAGCCGGCGAGGCAGTGTGGGGGCATGAGGGGACATCAGAGGACACCCCTTTAGGAAATAGGAATGGGCCGGGCAAATGCACCCACCTCCCTCTGCTCCTCAGCACGGGGGCCTGGGTCTGGAGCCCAAACTCCAGTGTGTTGACAAACAGGCTTAGAAAAAAGCACCAGGCTCATTAGGAAGGAGCTCATTAGGACTTGTTGACATGAAACCCATTAGACTAATTAACATTCCATTAACGGCCTGGGGCACCAAGGGGTTAATGCTGCGGGGCAGTAATTGGGCTGGGGTGCCAGGGTTGGGGCTCAGGGCCTTCAGGATGAGAAACAAAGTCTAATTGGAAACTCTCTGGCCAGCTGGCCGGACAGCATTTGTTCCTAGCCCTTGACCCCAGCTGACACAAATTGGATCCGGTGCTGAGGGAGGAGAGGGGAGGAAGAGCCCAGCTTTCCTTGGGCCCCTCACTGTCCCCCACCACCTGCCCCAAACTGGAGACCAGGCCAATGGTTGGCACAAGGACAAGGGGAGGTGATCTTTCCACCCTCCTGGACTCTGACTGCCCTATTTTCTGTCTGGACCCCATCACCCACGCCCCTCACTCCCTTATGGTCCTGTTTCTTTCTCAGCCCCGGGGAAGTGAGTCCACTCTCCTCTCCAGGGACTAATTTTCTGTGATGTTACCCACTCTCAGAAAAACTCTTTGGAGAAGATAGAATCTCTGAGGCCTCAGAGCCTAAGTCATTCAAATAGCGCTGTGGTTCAGGGCCGGGTGACTGCCTGCCTTCCTCCCTTCCTTCCATAGCAGCTAAGAGGTGATTCTGAGGATCCCCTGGGAGCCCTTCTCGTCTGTCCTCTGGCATGCTCAGGCAGTATCTGCATGATTTTCCTTCCCTCAGTACAAGCAGAGGCTGTGGAATTTCCATCCCCTGCCTGGGCCTCAGTTTCCTCATCTGTAAACTCTGAGATTGGACGAGAGGACTCACGAGGTCGTCCTCAGCTCTCCATTCCCGTGACCAGAGCCTGTGCTTAGGGTCCAAAAGACCAGATTCCACACCCAGAGGAATCTGCTACTCAGCGGCAGCCTGTAGAGTTACTTTCCCTCTCGCATTCCAAAATGAAGGGATTTCCCCAGAATATTCGGAAAGCTTTTGCCCACGGTTAGCACTGCACACATGCTTGTTGAGTTGAATGGAAAGAGTTAGACTGTAGCTTCATTCCAGAGGCCGGCCAGCTCCGTCATTAGAGAGTGAGAAGGAGGCCCTTGAGGCCAGTGCGCCTGGAACCCTCAATCCCCGCAGCCCAGACAGCCCCAGGTTACCCTTCACCCCCACCCCCAAGCTGTCCCCTCTGAGCAGCTGCCGGGGCCTGGGTTCTGACGTCTAGACAGATTTGCAGGAGGCTGAAATAACACAGTGAACTCAGCAGGAGCGACCAAAGAGCTGCATTAGTAACCTGGCTGGCTGCAGCC